TATTCTATTCTATTCTATTCTATTCTATTCTATTTCCATTCTATTCTATTTCCATTCCATTCCATTCCATATTTTCTATTCTATTCCATTCCATTCCATTCTATTCTAATTCTAATTCTATTCCATTCTATTCTGTTCTCATTCTCTTGTTTTTCTCATTCTCTTATTTCTATTCTATTCCATTCCATTCCATTCCATTCTATTCTATTCTTATTCCATTCCAGAGGTGTGCTCTTCTAACATCTTGGCATGTTTATAATTTGAGGTTGCCAGAACGGAAACCATGCTGCACTGCCCATCAACTAACCAGTGTGCAAGAGGTGGGAGATTTTTACAGGTCATCCTTGAGTTACAACAGTTCACTTACTGACCAGTTCGAAGTGGAGACGGCACTGAAAAAAGGGACTTTGGGGCTGCTGTCCACACTTAACGACCGTCGCAGGATTCCCACAGATCAAAATTCGGATGCTTGGCAATCGATTCGTATTTATGATGGTCGTAGTGTCCTCTTTTGCGAACTTCCGATGAGGGAGGTCAAGGGCGAATTCACTTAATGGTGAATGAAGTGTGGCTAACTGAACCACTGCAGGGGTTCCCTTCATGAGAGGTTGTAAAATGGAGCAAAAATTCACTTAAAGAAAACGTCTTGCTTTAGCAGCAGAAATTTGGGGGTCGATTGTGGTCGTAAGTCAAACAGTCCCCTGTGATGTACTCTTGATTTTATGCATCTTCTTTTTGAAATCCACGCAGTTCTTCACAAAACTTTTCTCTCTCTTTGTTTAAAATAATGTTGAAGCAAATGTGTTATTTATTTGTAAGATTATAGCTGCCCAGCCCACAAGCAAGCGACGCAGGCAAAGTGAAACAATAAATATCTCATAGGAGGAAATGTGAAAAACATTAGATATGTAGATATATCCCAAGAACTAAAACCAGATTTTTATGGATTTATCTAATTTATAGAATGAAGCAAGCAACTAAATAAACTTTCTGATTTGGTCAGTTCCCTTTGCTGGCTAAGCTGCTGGTTGCCACTAGATGGCGCCAATGGATTGCAAATTCAGGAAGATTTCGGTCAGCTCTGCATAACTTCTTAGCAGTTGAAGGAAGGAAGGAAGAAATAGGGAGGGAGGGAGGGAAAGAAAGAAGGAAGGAGGGAAGGGAGGAATGAAGGAGGAAGGGAAGGAAGAAAGAAAGTGGGAGGGAGGGAAGGAAGGAAACAAGGAAGGAGGGAAGAAAGGAAGAAAGAAAGAAAGAAAGAAAAGAAAGAAAGAAGGAAGGAACAAAGGAAGGAAGGAAGAAAGAAAGGAAGGAAGGAAGGAAGAAAGGAAGAAAGGAAGGAAGAAAAAGAAAAGGAAAGAAAGGAACAGTCAGGAAGGAAGGTAGGGAAAGAAAGAAGGAAGGAGGGAGGGAAGGAATGAAGAAAGGAGGGGGAGAAGAAAGGAAGGAAGGAGGAGGGAGGGAAAGAAGGAAGGAAGAGTAAGAAAGAAAGGAACACAAAGAAAGGAGGGAAGGAAGGAATGAAGGAGGAAGGGAAGGAAGAAAGAAAAAGGGAGGGAGGGAAGGAAAGAAGGAAGGAAGGAAGGAAGGAAGGAAGAGAAAGAAAGAAAAAGAAAGGAAGGAAGGAAGGAGGGGAAGGAAACAAGGAAGGAGGGAAGAAAGAAAAGAAAGAAAGAAAGAAAGAAAGAAAGAAAGAA